TCAACAAATAACTTTGAGCCTCAGTCAGAAAAAACTGGAGGGTTTTTCATTTTTATACTTATGGCCCAAGGAGGGAAAAAATGGTGGATTTAGGTCCCGCCGAAGGCTACCTGTCTCCCTCTCAGGTTCTAAAGAATCTTTTCAGGCTCGCAGTAAAATGCCAACTCTTCAATCCATTGTCTTGTTGATGGTGATTTTTCAGATTTCCARTTGGTTAGGATACATTTTTTAGTAGCAGTGCTTGCAAGTAGGATAAAGTATTTCTTATAATAGTTTATGTCAAGGGTTGCTGTGTCTCCTGGAATACATATTTTGGGATAGCTCAAGATATTTTTGCAATTAATCGCAATAAATGTTTTTGTAGAATTTATTATTATTCTATAGCTGAATGTGTACATATATACGTTGTGATACACTCCATGTGCGATACATTATGTTCATTTTGTTTATCTTCTTGCCTGTGTTTCTTTCATTGCTGAGACTTCAGCATCTATCTTCTGTTCCTCATGCACTCATTTTAAATGACAACAAAAGCTGCTTGAATTCTTGATTAATCTCATTATTTCGCACAGAATTGAAACATGACTCAAAGAAGATTTAAGCATTTTTCAGTTACTGTCTTATAGAGATAAGCTTCAATACATTTTCAAAAACGTTAAACAGATAAGGCAAAGCAAGCCGGTCTTACTCTATTGTTTTTTTTTGTCTTGAACACACTGATCAGCCTCGTCTGCAGAACCCTCCTGTTTGTTACAGAGGTTTGAAATCAAAGCACTGTTTCAGGCTCCGACTATTCCAGGACCGAGTTCAGTGTTAATGCGTGTTAAAATTATTATCGCCGCTAAACACCGGCTAACGAGATGATGCCTTAACGTGCCCAGTACTAGTTTTATTTATATGTTCTTTTTATTTTAAAACAAATGCTATATATACAACAAAAAATACAAATCACAAGTAAAATGAAAGGCAGAAAAAAGAAGAAATGTTATATCTGCCCCTATTTTCCAAAAAAAAAACTCATTTCAAACGACAATAATGTTCAAGTAACGAAACAAAAACTTTAAACCAGGAAAATAAATAACTTACTTAAATTAAAGTTGAATTTTTACTTAGTTTGAATATTCAAAGAATAAAATAAAGACGACTTTGGTTCAAATGTTTTTTACAATGTTTAAAATAAATGTTAATATAAGCTTGTGTCCTACCTGCTTTAGTTTTATTTAACAAACTAGTTGTAACCATGTTTTCAAACTATTATGGTGCATTCACACCAAAAGCGTTTTGAGCGTCAGCTTTATAGTCTATGGTGGACGTGCGTCGGGAAGTGCTGCGATGCGTTTAGCGCGTTTAGCGCGGCGAGAGCGTCGACGGTGAAGTTAGAAAATCTGAACTTTTGCAGCTCGACGCGCCGCGTCAACCAATCAGAGAGACTCCACTGTGTGACGTAGCGACAGATTTCCTGACGGGACAGTTTACTGAATGATGTCCACTAACCTGAAACAGATGGAGAGGAGCTCTTTAGCTGAAATCGAGTGCCTGCAGTCGGTGTCCTGACAGGAGATATCTGCACCAAAGCGTGGCAGCGGCTCATCAGTCTGGACTCAGGACCAAAATGGTTCTGAAAGCGAGCCGCGAGCCTCGTCAGCTTGCAGCTCCTGGGTGATGAAACTCACCAAACTCAGAACGTCTCTGAATTACCTGGTGAATTAATAATGAATTAATTATCTGATGTGAGTGACATGCTGTTGCTCTCTGTAAATAAAGCAAAGCTATATTTCATCCGACATTAAACAGAGGCCGACAGAGGAGAGAGGGAGGGGGCGGGGAGGCTCTCAACGTGCTGGACGCGCGTCGAGCGCTTCACCACCATAGAGCACAAGCGTCAAACTTGAAGCATTTGATGCGATTTTGACGCTAAAATCACGTTCAGTGCAGATATATTAATGTTCCAACGCACACTACAGACAAATGCTCACAATTTCTCTTTTCAATTAATAATATTAACAAATGAGAACTAAAAACACATAAAATTAATGTTTTCTAAAAACTGACACATTGTCAGATATTTGGTCTTATTTTGTTTAGAACAACAAAGTTAATGTTTATCAGGATGACCCTTTCTATATGTGTTTTTGATCAAATTTTGTTCTGGCTTCAGTTCTGAGGTAGGCCTCCCAACAACACACACCACCTGCACTCCCACCTTAGAAACGAACGTTTCTGGAGGCCCTCCTGGAGTCACTGGCTTATTTCTGTTGGAGACACACAGTTCTGAGAAAACACCTCTCCTCTGTGTAATCCTCTTGTGATATTTTGGCCAGAATCTTTCAAGGAGTTTTCATACATGTTGATAATAAATAGAGCTCTAAAATGACAGAAACCAGACGGAAGGAGGTTTCAGAACCCCACGATGTTTATTCTGAGACAATTTATCACTCCGTTTTTGAAAAAGTCATGAAAATATTGATAATTTTATTTTACTTGTTCAATAAGCACCATGAGAGGATGACACATGAAGGGAATTTTGTTTGTATCTTTCACTCCAGATTTAAACAGAAGCAAGATTTTCAAATCAGAGGATGGCTTAACCATGGTACTCTCCACCCCTTCAAATTCAAAGTACTGTAATATTTTATTATAGTACTGTGATTGTAAAATACAACTGTGGGTACACGGATCCTGATATCTGATGCAGAGGAGGGCTGCTGCCTCTGTCTGACACTTTAATTTATTACAATTCAAGAAGGAATCACTTGCTGCTTTTCATGTCAGAGATTTCAATTTAGATCATCTTGAAAATAACGTGAGAGATCTTTAAAAACCAGATGTGGTGGATTTAATTGAAGAAAATTGTGAACTGGTTCCTGGTTTCACTCAATTGAATTACGTAACAGTAATATATTTACTTTATATTTATGTAGCATTTCTGTTAAAAAGTACAAGTATCTCACCAAAACATTACTTTGGTAAAAGTTAAAGTCTCCTTTAGTAATATTACTTACATAAAAGTCTTGATGTATCTGATATTTTTTGTACTTAAGTATTAAAAGTAAAAGTATTGATTTAAAATGAGCAGTTAGATTTTCTGTAAGGACATTTATTAGGAGGTGACCTCCCCAAAAAATGCAGAAATGACTGTTGTATTAAAATAATTAATTAATGTTAAATTTAGGATGAACTAGTCCAGCTGTTTCAGTTTATATACATATATCAAGGCTGCAGAAAACTTTTCCCCAAAATGAAAATCTATCTGAGGACTGCAGCCAAATGCAATAATATAATTCATAAAATACAATTACTTCTTAAGTACAGTCCTTTTATTTTAATGATTATGTTCTGCCGGAGTGTGACAAGATTTGTTTGTGTACAAACTAATACAGTATCAGAGTTTTATATATTTATACTTCTCATTCAACCACAGTTAAATTCACTCTATAGGAGGCACAGTTTATATGGATATTATTTATTTTTTACAATAACAAGCTGGAATGAAAACAAGCAAAAATGAAATAAAAGTAACGACTTTCTACTTCTTGCCTTTTTTAAAAATGTAAGGAGTTAAGTACAGATAATTGTGTAAAAATGTAAGAAGTAGAAGTAAAAAGTAGGCTGAAAAGTAATTACTCAAGTAAACAGATACTCAAAAATTCTACTTAAGTACAATAACAAAGTATTTGTACATATTTAGTTTACAACTCTGGAAGGTAGTAGTAGATTTCGCAGCTTATCCAGCAGTATTTTCTCCTCCACTGAACTTGTGAACTCTAAGCAGCCGTTTATCTCTGCCATGAGCGCTGTCACTGTGTTGACTTTAGTTATAAAACACACCTTTGTGTTTGGGGTGTGACATTTACTGCAGGGGGAGGGAGGAGCTCTGCAGTGTGTGTCCCCTGGACCATAAAATGTGTGTGCAACATGTGACCATGTGTCGACTGATCAGTTGCCACTCGCCCATGCTGGGCCTTTAAGTCCAGCCCCTCATCAGAGCCCAAAATGTGTGTGGAGATGAGACCAACAGGATTCAGCACACCGGGCCCCGCCCTTACCTGTCTACCACCTAACAACAACAATGGGTCTAAGGGGATGTAGCTTTTTGAGATGCTAGGTTATAATTATGAGACAGTATCTCATAATTAAAACACATCTGGTAATAGGCTCCTGAGCAGCAACAGTCAGTTGAGTTACCAACGTGCATGCACAAAATTGTGCACAGTGCGCTCAATTAGTTTTGTAGTAGGGGTGCAACAATACATGCATCTGTAATGAATTGTTCACTGCAGTGCTCTAGGTTCAATATGCACTATGAATCAAACAATACAGATTTTTATTCATTTTTATCAGCTTGTCATCTGAAGATCTGTGTTGAAGGATCATTGGATCTGTGTTCGACTACTCCAACTGGACTGCATCGTCGAGCACAGATCCACTGAGAAACTTGCTGTTTCAGCAACATTTAATTTAAAAACTGGACTTTTGAGGTTAAATAGATGTTCATAATTCATTTCAATAAACTACAAGTTAAGAAAGGCATGGAAATGTGTCCTTTTGTATTGAAAAAAATATAACCGAACCGAATTGTGAAATTTCTGCATCGTTGCTCCCCTATTTTGTAGTTATTCATGATTGTTCAGTGCTATTTTGTTTTTTTACACCTGCTTTTCTGTTGACTGTTGTGTGCAAATATGTTTAGAAACAGCTTTTATTGGTATTTTGTATTGATAGTGAAATGTCTTCAATGTGTAATGTTGCAGGATGTTTAAATGACTGCAGAGGATAACTGAAACATAGGTAAATATGTTTAGATTGAATGCATTTTAACAAACCGGAAGTAGGCATGAATACACAAACAAACATCCGGTTTATGTTGTACGACATTAATTATAACCATTTTTTTCACCAGTATGCATTTGTGCTTTCTGATATGAACAGCAGAGGGGGAAAAGCAGTGAACTAGTGAGGTGTGGGAACAAATTTCGTCCAAAAAACAAACAAAAAAAAACAACAACCACGAGTATGAGTGTTTTTCCCCCTCACAGTTAATAGGATTTGTAATTATCCAGTTTAAATTTAATAACATGGTATTTTTAAAACACCTACATTTGATTCTAAGTTTTAGCTAAAACTTGCTGTGGCTGTTTGTTGGTCGGAACGATGAGAGCGGGGCTAGAGGAAGTGGGGACATATTTTGTCGGTGCACCACCTCCTGAGTTGGAGCTTGTCCTGTGTGTGGACACATCAGAGGCGTTTTCTGTAAACAGGTCGTAGCGTGACGCTGGTAAGCCTATGAAATCACATTAACCTCAACGTTATCATGGATTTATTTTTGTCAGTTTGTGAATATTTTTCACCGTTTGGGGAACTAGCTTGTTAGCGTTAGCTAAACAGCTTCACTGGCGTTTGGCAGGAGATGAATTTAAAAAAAAAATCCTAGATCGTTTTTTTTTTTCATTGAACAGTTACATTATATTAAATTACACTTTAATTGTTATGTTGTGGCGTGAACGATGCAATAATTAACGTTTAGGTATGCAGTTAGTTTAGTTTAGTTTATTTAGACTCTGCTTGTCTACGATTACCTGTCTGTCTGTCTGTCCACTCCACTCATTCACAGTCTCCAGTCACGCCGACACTCACTACAGGCGATATTGCCAATGTTTTCGTGGATCTTGGGCTCCTGGACGCTGCTTTGCGGTGGTCTTGTCGGAACAACGTGTAAATGACAAAGCTGAAGTTAGCTTCCGATTCGGGAAATGACTAAAGGGATATTACAACTAATTTTTCACTACCTTACGCGTGTTTAACCTGCTCTAGTTCAAAAACTACAACACCTACACTCTTCAAATCTGGACTAGATTATTCTACACTAATAGAAAAATATTTAAAAACACGTTTTGGATTTGGGAAAGCTTTGTCTGATTTGTGAAACTTCTACAAAGTTTGTTTTTCATCGTTTTTATGCAACTGGACCACATTAGACCTGATCCAGCTCAAAAACCACAACACCTGGACTCTTCAAACCTGGACTGGATTATTCTACACTAATAGAAGAATAATAAAAACTAAGTTTGAGCTTTGGGAAACCTTTATCTGATTTATGAAAAATCAATAAAGTTTGTTTTTCATTGTTTTTTAGGCAACTGGACCACATTAGATCTGGTCCAGCTCAAAAACCACAACACCTGGACTCTTGGGCTGGACCAGGTCCAGTGTGGTCCAGTTGCCTGAAAAATGATGATGAACAAACTTTGTTGATGTTTCACAAATCAAACAAAGGTTTCCCAAAGCTCAAACTTAGTTTTACATATTCCACTATTAGTGTAGAATAATGTAGTCCTGGTTTGAAGAGTCCAGGTGTTGTGGTTTTTGAGCTGGACCAGATCTAATGTGGTCCAGTTGCATAAAAATGATGAAAAACAAACTTTATTGATTTTTCACAAATCAGACAAAGCTTTCCCAAATCCCAAACATGTTTTTAAATATTCTTCTATTAGTGTAAAATAATCTAGTCCAGATTTGAAGAGTGTAGGTGTTGTAGTTTTTGAGCTAGAGCAGGTTAAACATGCGCAAGGTAGTGAAAAATTAGTTGTAATATCCCTTTAGTCATTTCCCGAATCGGAAGCTAACTTCAGCTTCGTGTTAAAATGTCGTTTTTTTAAAGGGAGTTTGGTTTGCTGTGGCAGCGCGCGCTGTCCACGTTTGTTGTTTGAGTTAGCAGTTTATCTTCTGGGCAGGTCGCTTTCTGTGTTTATGATTGATAAGATCTGCTGTCACAGTAAGTTAGAAAAATATTATTAAAGGGATGTACATGATATTTTCAAATGGGGTTTCTTGAGAGTGTTATAAACATATATTATCTTACCTGTTGTAGATAAGGATTAGGTCTTCATTTGGAAGTTAAAGACAAGTTATGTAACTTTTTATTTTCATAAGTATGTCAATTAAGCACAAAACAATGTAAAAAATTGCCATTTATATTTGTTAGACTGATAGATTTCTGGCTTTTATTTCACTCAAAGGGATTATATTTTAAATATTTATGCTCATGCAGTCGTTTAATCCATTAATTTTTCTAGTCTCGTGAATAAAACTGCTCAATCCAAGTGCCAAAGAACAGGAAGAAGAAAATAAAAAGACACAAAATATGAAGGAAGTTCAGTGGTGGTGGAGAGATGACGAAAGCAGGGGAAAGTAACTCAAGATGCTACAGGAC